TATATACATTATGTATTCTCACTCGTTTTGGACTCTTTCCTGGCCCCCTGGTTAAAATTTTAACTCCACCTTCACTCTGACATTTCATTATTTCCCCATTCCTACTTATTTTCTCATTTATTAAAGTCTAACCTACTATACATTTTACTCATCTGCGTTGAATTTCTTCCCTGCCTTTTGCTCTACTGCATCCCCCATGCCTACCACATACCATAGCAGGTCTTCATCAATACTTGCTGAATGAATCCCTGCTTTATCACCACATTTCCTCCACTTTCTTTGTTTCTGCTATTTTTTGTTTACAACTTAGAATGTGAGCCATATGGAGACCAAACTCCCTGAAGTGAGGATATGTCTTGGCATTGTGAGATCAGCTGCCAAATAGATTGGGCACTACTTATTGACTTATCAACCACTAATCTGTGTTCCCGCACCCTCTAGTGAAAGGAAGCTACTTTTCATTTCTCCAAACCCTTAAAAACATCCAAACCAAGGCGGAAAAAAGAAGGGGATGCTGATGGCATTTCCTGTGCAGATGAAGGGATTACCACACCGACACCTGTGTTTTCACTATATTGCAAATCCTTACAAGTTATGATTGGTGAGGCTGATGAAGCTTCAGGTTCATTATGTAATTTTAATTTAATTTAAGGCTCTTAGTCTAGATCAGTGGTTCTCAACTGGAGGCAACCCCCCATTGGTATTGTTTTTGCTTGATACAATTTGTGGGAGTTGCTACTGGCGTCTGCTAAATAGAGGCTAGGGATGCTGTTCGACATCCTACAAGACCCAGGTCAGTTCCTCTACCTCTGTCCTAAAGAATTATCCAACCTGAAATGTCAATAGTTTGTGCAACTCTAATCTAGATGCTAAGAACAGCCAATAATTAAATCTTGTTTCTCATGTGAAACACTAATAAGATCATAGCTATAATTTATTATAGTAATTAAAAAAATTTAATATGTTTTTATTGATTTTAGAGAGGAAGGGAGAGAGAGAGAGATAGAAACATTAATGAGAGAGAAACATCAATGTCGATTGGCTGCCTCCTGCACACCCCCTGCAGGGTATCAAGCCTGAAACACAGAAATAGGCCCTGACTAAGAATTGAACCAGTGACCTCTTCGTGCATGGGTTCATGTGCAACCACTGAACAACACCTGCTGGGCTATTGTGGTGATTTTTAAAAGTAGAGATAATATTGAGTAACTTTATTAGTAGTGTTTATGTAGTAATGTGTCTGGAATAACATCTGGTTTATGTTTATTAATTATCAATAAGTAAGTACTTTTGAAGAATTAAAAGGAAAAAAGAGCTAAATTTTAGATTAGTGATTAGATAAGCTTGCAATCTGACTCTAAATTGGAGCCTGCAGATTTAAAAATGAGTTCCTTCAATAGTTTGGGCTTGTTTTCCCTCAGCCTTGGAAAACACCCGAAGGCTTGGAAAACAATGGTTTATTCAATTCATACCAATCCTATCAGTCAAACAAATAAATTACAGAGCAACTTCAAATGTAAGTCTTTCTTCTGGTTCACCACTTTTAAAATTTGCCTATTTCCTGCCATGCTAGACATGACTCAAAATAACTTTCTTAGCAATTAAAGCTAATAGTTCTTTTTCTCTTAAGAGCTTTGATCCACAACATTCTCCATAGTTAACTATTTTGATAAAACCCATATACTATCACTTCTCTATCATTATACCTAAATGTTTAGAAAAGTTTCATGAGCTTGGAAAGCCACATTATTGTTTGAATAATTTAAGTATATTTATTTATTTATTTTTTAATTTTTAATGTTTCTTTATCTTTATTGTTGAGACCATTACTGATGTCCCCCTTTTAACCCCACTGATTCCCTCCACCCCACGTTCATCCCACCCCCCAGGCCCTCCCCAAAACAATGTCCCCATCCATGGGCCGTGCCCATAAACATGCACGTTCCTTGATTAATCTCTCCCCACCCACACCCCTCTCCCTGCCTTCCCTCTGAAATCCCTGTTTTTCCAAGCTTCTGTGTTACTGGATCCACTTTGTTCATCAGTTTCTTTTGTTTATTATATTCCACATATAAGTGCGATCATGTGGTACTTGTCTTTCTCTGACTGGCTTATTTCACTTAGCATAATACTCTCTAGTTCCCTCCATGCTGTACCAAAGGCCCAAAGGTCCTTCCTCTTCACAGCTGCATAGTATTCCATGGTGTGAATGTCCCACAGCTTTTTTATCCACTCATCTACTGATGGGCACTTGGGTTGTTTCTAGATCTTAGCTATTGTGAATTGTGCTGCTATGAACATAGGGGTGCATNNTTGCTTTCCACAGTGGCTGCACCAGTCTACATTCCCATCAGCA